GTACCCTATAAAACTTTTTCCCCTTGGCATCAGAGTGTTCTGGTTGTGGTTTCTAGTCAGTCTGAGCCAAGCCATTGGCGTGAAGCTATGCGCTACGAAGAATGGTGGGTTGCCATGTCGTGCGAGATTGATGCCCTCGTTGGAAATGGTACATGGACTCTAGTTAGTTTGCCTCCAGGAAAACGTGTTGTTGCTTCTAGATGGGTCTACAAAATTAAGTTCAATGCAGATGGTTCAGTTGAGTGGTATAAGGCTCGTTTGGTTGCCAAAGGCTTTACACAGACGGAAGGGATTGATTACCATGACACCTTTGCTCCTGTGGCGAAACTTGTTAGTGTTCGATGTCTGCTTGCTGTTGCCGCAGTTTGTGGCTGGGTGGTTCACCAGCTTGAAGTTGATAACGCTTTTTTTCATCACGATCTCCATGAGGAAGTTTATAAGCAAATACCGCCGGGTTTTGCAGCTCCTGGCGATTCGCGAGTTTGTCGCCTTCACAAGTCCATCTATGGAATCAAGCAGGCTTCTCGTAACTGGTATGCCAAGTTTGCATCCACTCTCATTGGTCTTGGTTTTCTTCGCTCTCGAGCAGATTACTCTCTCTTTGTTCGTCACAGTCAGGGCACATATGTTGCTGCTCTCATTTATGTGGATGATGTCATACTAGCGGGTGATGATCTAGTCTTCATTCATCAGGTCAAGGATGCACTTCATAGTCAGTTTGGGATCAAGAATCTCGGTCCTCTGAAATATTTCCTTGGCATAGAGGTTGCCCGCTCTAAGGCTGGCATTGCGCTTTGTCAACGGAAGTATACATTGGATCTTCTTCGAGATAGTGGTCTTACAGGTGGTCGTCCAAGTAATTTTCCCATTGAGCAGCATCATCAGCTCACTCGTCATAATGACACGTCTGTCCCGGCCTCTTCGGATGATGCAGCTGCTTATCATCGTCTAATTGGTTGATTACAGTATCTCACAGTCACTCGTCCAGATATTGTCTATGTTGTCAACATTCTTAGTCGGTATGTTCATGCTCCCACCTCCGTGCATGTTGCTGGTGCTGAGCGCATCTTACGGTATCTCAAGAATGCGCTGGGTCAGGGAATTCTATTGCCTTCACATGGTCCGCTCCATTTAACTGCTTACTGCGATGCGGACTGGGGAGGTTGTCAGTCTACTCGTCGTTCGACATCTGGGTATTTTGTCACTCTGGGTGGTGCGCCGGTTTCTTGGAGAACCAAAAAGCAACATGTGGTGGCTCGTTCCTCTGCTGAAGCTGAGTACCGTGCTATGGCTAGCACGGTTAGTGAGGTTATATGGCTTCGTGCACTTCTACACAACATGGGTGTCTCTTGTTCCAGTCCTACAGCTCTCTACTGTGACAATCAAGCAACTCTGCATATTGCTGCTAATCTAGTCTCCCATGAGCGTACGAAGCATGTTGAGCTTGATTGCTACTTCGTTCGCGATCATGTCACTTCCAACGAGATCCTTCCTCGGAAGATTCATACTGATGTGCAGCTAGCGGATCTCTTTACGAAAGGTCTTGGTGGTGATCGTTTTCATTCGCTTCTATCCAAGCTGGTCATTTGTAACCTTCATGCCTCAACTTGTGGGGGAGTATAATGGGTTGTGTAGTACGCAGTCATGTAGGCTAGAGGGGCTTTGAGTCTTTTCCCCTTGGCCGCCGACTAATTATTGTAACCCTAGGGTTTGGCTTGTTGATTAGGGGTTACATATATATTTGTTGTAAGTGTATCGGCTGCCTACTATGAATGAAAGCTGAGATAGCATAACTTCTCCGTGGAGTAAGCTCATTCACACTAAATGAGACGAACCACGTAAACCCTGTGTTGTGTGTTTTGCGTACTCGTGTTCACTAATATTTCAATTATCTATGGAATCAAACTTCCTTTTATGTTCATCCAAGACTGTATCATAGCTCCCGCATCCAAAAATGCTTATACTACTATAGTCTAGAGGAATCCCATATAAACATTCAAAGGGTTTTTTATTATTTTAGATTGGAGTGGGGGTTTCTGTTAACAAGGTATGCAACATGCAAAACCAATGGCTCCAAAAACTCAGAGGTACTCCATATTGGAATTTCAGGGCTCTAGCAACATCAAGCAAGTTTTGATGCTTGCGTTCTACTCTTCCATTCTGTTGTTGTCCTAGCACAAGACATTTCATGAACAGTTACACATAATTTTTAACGGGCAAATTAACGGATAATTAGATGAAAGGGTAAACTTGTTACGTTTTAATATGAGAAGGGTATGTTTGTACAAATATTTAGTAGAGGGGTATGTTTGTTAATTTACCATACTAGAAGTGTTTATTTTTGGATAACTTGTGTGAAAATATGAAATTTGGTTCATGGTCTAACCAACGGAATTCCCAATATTGACCAGATTTGATCGCCATTGACCGTATTTGACTAAGAATTAATACCAACCCATTTTTGACCGGTTTGGTTATCAGTATTGGTTGTACTCGGTTGAACCGGTGTAGGAAGCCGACGTGACAACACTGGTAATGAGTATTAAACTCGTATTAAATAAAGTGTTAAGTCATTACGGAAGTCTTACAACGCTTCTAATTTAACTATTACATAAGAAATAACTATTATTACGTAATTAACGATGCTTTTACGTAATGAAAATTTACCTTGTATTACGTAAAGTATTAAGTTATTACCAAAACCTTAGGAAATATTTCTGATTTACATGCTATGTATAAGATACATATAACTGTATTTCATAAAATTTACAAAATGTTAATGAACACAACAACAACAAAGACAAATCAAGTAGAAAAACAAAAGAAATGCAGTGGTTATTTCGGGAGGGATCCCTTACATAATTTATTGGTCAATAACTATACATAACTCAAACAGAATTCACCACATTAGCACCTCTCTCCTGGAAAACCTTTAATCCATTCCCATTTAATTTTTAACGAACGATTTTTCTTTCGTTTGAAGTCGAAACTTAAATATTTTTGCACAGATTAATTGTGTTCTTCAAAACGATATCCACTATGATATATTTTTGGAACAAAAAAAAATCGAGGCATTTTTTACCCGTCTATACCATGATGGTATTGGTTGGTATTAAAATAAGAGCATATCATATGGTATAAAAAGCGTATCATGGTGGTATAATCATATCAAGATTGTAGGATGGTTGAATACATGATATTAAGAGTATACTAACTGTCATTTATGACTTTCAAAATTGTGTACCACAACATAGCACTCCCCATACTAGGGTAGTATTGTGTGGTACTTCGTAGTCTTGTAATTTTCACTCAGAAATTTGTAGATCCAATAGATCATGATAAATTCGTCCCTTCAATGCAAAAATTTTCAAAACCGATTTAAAAACGAAGGAGATACCATATGGTATGGAGTTGGTAACGAGAGATATAAAAAAAATTTCTTAAAAATATTAAAAATGGATCTCATTTTGTAGAGCACAACCCGTTCCATCTGTGGAAAAAAAAAATTGAAATCCAAGTTAGACCGAAAAAGAGCCGATTAAGAATAGACCTGAATTTTCTGAAAAAAAAGGAATATTCAGATTCAGTTATGCAAAAATGCATAACCCTTGTCAATATCCATCGCATGATCCTCACTTTCAGGGTATATAATTCGTCCAACAACACTATTGTATCCAAAATCCGAATGATCCTAAAATACCAACACGCAAGCACAACAACCTTGGGTCGGCTTGCGGTGAGTCCATAGTTGGCTAGCTCAAAAAAGGAAAGGGAGGGGGCTCAACATAAAATGATTGACCGGCTAACCCTATTACAATGCTATGCCTAAAGTAGGAATCCGAGATGTTTAAGCAATGACCTGACAACCTATGCAGCTCGTCATCGCATGTAAGCCTATGTATATGTATATGCCTGGGAATAGCTAGTTAGCCAGCTCTCACACACAAAAACTCGAACTCGGCTTCAATCTTGCGCCCTTTCTGCCGTCTACAAATCAAATAATGTAGTCATGTCATGTGCAATGTTCATAGCTTAAGTATATTGAAATGTTATGGTATGTGACATTTACCTCGACAATCACGTAACTGAGAAATAGGGATGTCCCACTCTCCCGGCTAGAGGCTCTAGCTATTTTTGCATATCCACCATCGCCCCATCCCTCTCCCCAAGAATTCCTAACTATCCAGTAATTGATACCCTTCTCCGTAGTACCATATCCAACAACCAACATGACATGGCGATTCTTTGCCGCGCCTGGCTGAAGATCCACACCTTGAAACACCCGGCCATTTGATGGCTCCGTTACCTATCAGTAGGGCTGTCAATTTGGTTTGGTTTGGTTAACCAAACCATTAAGTATGAAAAACCAAAAACCAAAAACCAAATCAGCAAAAACCAAAACCAAAACCATTAAGGTCCTTATTGGTTATTGGTTACCAATAACCAATAAGGACCTTAATGGTTTTGGTTTTGGTTTGGATAACCAAAAAACCAACATGTACTCATACACTCATATTTATTTCTATTTTCCTTCTTTTTATTGAATAAATGTCATAATAATGGTAAATGATAAAATGAACATTATAAATTATTGGTTGGATGCAGATCGTCTACATCGTCCTCACCATGGCCTTGGGTAGGGCCAAGGTAACTAAACTAAATTTTTTTTTCTCCCTCTTGATTACTTAGTTAATGATGTTATTAGTTTAATGTAAAATTTCCCTCAGGCTGCTTCTGTTTAGACTTTAGACTATAGTCCACTAATTGATTAATGCTCTTTTGTTAATTCCTCGTAAAATGTAAAAATGTGCACCGCCCCTGCCGGCTTCTTTTCAGCACAACTGGCCATGGATCGAGTTCAGTCATTAATTGTAATTTAAATTATGTAAGTAGTTTTTGCCAACTAGGCTAATTTATAATCCACCAATTTCTTCCAGCATTTTTTAATAAGACTAACTTCATAATAACTCACTATTTCACAGGCTTCTGGAGATGAAATTTGTACAAACTTGAATTCGATTTTTGGTAATCGTCATTTATGTCTTGCTCTTTTGAAGGTCATGAATAAAATTGCAAGCTCATTTTTTAACGTTTTCAAGTACTTGTCGAGCTTTTTTCACTCCATCCATCTCCAAGTGTGTGAAATGTCTCCAAACATCAGATCTGTCTTTCCTTTTTTTTGACGTTGTCCCCCCACCTTCTGTTTGAGCATTGGGTACTGTGGTGGTACCGGAAGATGGTGCAAAAGTGGAGGAAGACGTTGCAGGATGTCTAGGCGGAATACTGGTGCTTTTGGAGTGCCCACTTCTAGGACGAGCAACACTAGATGAAACATTTTGTGATAATGGTATCTCACTGTCCCTGCCAATATCAAAAGTGAATTTAGTATCACAATCAAAGTACATAAAGAGAAATGCACACTTACTAGTTACTATCAAAAGGATTGTCAAAGACAGCCATAAGAGTTTCCCCTATACTGAACAGAACAACTTAAATCCACATCCACATCTCCAAGGATAAAAATTGAATCACTTTAAGACTTCCAGGGTGACAGACCCATTACTTTTCAAGAGACAACCATACTCATAAAGCAAACAGCCATACACACATCATAATCCAGAAGCATGAGGTCAACTTAACCAATCCTCCATTCAAAAGAAACTCAACTACTAAATCATAGCTAACTCCACTAGCTCAAGCGACCGAATTCGGCAAAAATCAATCAAAAGAAAGCAAGTACATAAAAGAAGAACTAATCAGCATGGCACTACAATGCTTATCAAGAAGCTTCTGAATTCCATCTCCCTCAACCTCATCATCAACAGCCTAGAAGGTGAGATATCGTATAGTTTCAAGCTCGACCTCAAGCCTTGGCATTTTTGGAGCAAAAGAGGGAGCAAAGGTTTTGAACTCTAAGGCAGCAACATCGAAATCCATTGGGATCTCCGGTCAACAAAATTCATCGGGACCTGCCCGGAGCCAGCTGGTGACTACTACGTGGCCGTGGTGTGCGACGAGGAGATCGTTCTGTTGCTAGGAAACTACAAGAACAAGGTGTACAAGAGGACCAAGGCAAAGCCAACTTTGGTGGAACAGAACAACACTCTGTCTGCTTTTGAAACAGAACAACTTCAGAGCAAGAAATGACTTCTAGTTCTCGGTGATCCAGAAAGCAAAACAACAGCCAAATGGAGATGGCTCATGTCGTACCACCCAGAAAAAGGTAGGGAGAGCTTGAATGAAAGCCACAAACAGAGTCACCAGAAAATATGGCAGAAACGAAACCCAAATCCAAAAATCAACACATAAACCACGCTTTAGCCAACAACCCAGCCCCAGAAACGAAACCCAAATACAAAAATCAACAAATCGAATAGGGAAGACAGATGCAAGCAAGCTATGTGAGGGACTCACTGAGATTCCATTGAACAAAGGCGGCAAGTTCAGAACAGAATATGGAGTAGGAGAAGGCGAGGAGTTATTCGCCGACGACCCAGTTCTCTCCAATCGACACCGAATCGATGCTCAAGCTGGACAATGCCCACCCATGGAGTTATTCACCAACCCAGTTCCTCGAGCTAAGAATCAGCGGCCACAGAGCAGCAACTCAGGTTTCCGCCTTCGCCAAAGATAGCCGGATTCAGAGCAACGAGAAGAAGAGAGGTGCCTCGAAAGGGTTCTAGGGATTCAGATTTCAGAGCAACGAAAAGAAGCTGAAGAGAGGTGCCTCTGCGCAGGCGAGAGCATTTTGTTCGAAAGGGGTTTAGGGATTTTGAAAGGGTTCTAGTTCTAGGGATTCAGAGCAACGAAAAGAAAGAGTTGCGTTTCGTCTAAAGCGTTTCATTCATAATGGTTTCTTATTGGTTTTCTGGTTTTAACCGAATAAAAACCATTAAGTGTCTAAATGGTTTAAAACCAAAAAACCAAAACCATCAGCTTTCTAATTGGTTTGGTTTCGGTTAAAACCGAAAAACCAAAACCAAATGGACAGCCCTACCTATCAGATAGTAATTACCAACCATGAATAAATTGTTTGCGTATTTCTAAGCAACAAAATCTGCTTCAAAGGACGCTAATTAACCAATTGACTCACACCCCATTGTTGCAAATTACTGTTCGCATCCACACTGGCCACTATAGGCTTTTTAGCAACCTCTTTCAACATGATGGCTTCATCGATGGTCTGCATCTCTTGGGGCTGACTTTGGAAGAAAAATGACTTTTTTTCCTAGATGCAGAAACACCAATCAGTATGCATTCAACTTAATTAGTAGATAAGTAATTATGATCGATATTTTAATCTTACGTGTTTCTTCTTCTTCTTGGGATCTTCGGGTTTGTAGTCACTTACTTCACTTGCCCCTTCATCCGTGATGAACCTCGCAATCCTTTTCAACTCAATGCCTCTCAACTCCTTACGGGGTGGGACCTTATCAACCAATTCTTTGATAGAAACCCTAATGGAACTCTCACGAGCTGCGGTTAATATGTTATACGCCGCTTCAATTGCAACCCCTAGTGAATGGTGATAGCAAGTGGCTACAAACAATATTGGGAAGAAGAAACAATCATGTCTCTCACTAATGTAACCTATTTTTCAAATAAAAACAACAATATAATGACCGCACAAACCAAACAAATTCATACAAGGAAACTTACGTCCTTCTTGTTTTTGGATGGGAGTACTTATGATTTCCTTTCCCTTAGATCCTTCTCTCCAATCGACCATGATTAGAGCATCACCATCCAAATCCTAACTAATGAGTAATCAATCAAAAATGCAATAGATTAACATTGAAACTAATCCTTAACAGTCGATACATATATTTCACCAACCCAATCTTAATCCAAATTCAATCGGTAAACCAAAATACATAACACATTGGAGCTAGAACTAGAACATTACCTTGGGGCGAGGTGAGGGTTTCGGCTTTGCCGGCCCTCTACTCCCACTAGCTTGAAATGGATTGAACCTTTTTGGACCCATGTTGGCTCTTCCCTGGATCTGAAAAGGGAGAGTGATAGAGAAATGAGGAGACGTAGAGAGAGAGAGAGAGGGAGAGAGGGAGAGGGAGAGAGGGAGAGGGAGAGAGGGAGAGGGAGACGAGAAAGAGCTATACCTTGCTGCGATTCCGAGCTCCTCCGACCCAAACGGCTAGATGCCTAGATTTACTTAGAGAGAGCGCGGCCGCCGGCCTGTTACTTTCTTTCCAAGAAGAGACAAGATGAGCAGAGGGAGAGAAATGTAGTGAGCGAGACGGAGAGAGAGAGAGAGAGAGAGAGTGAAGGAGAATAGAAACAGGAGAGAGATCTCTGATTTACCTTGCTGCGCTTCCGAGCTCCGCCGACCCAAACAGCTAGATTTTTCCGACGGATTGAGCAACAGGTAGCTGCGTATGGAAAAAGTTCCTGTCTAAAAGAAAAGGGGAAGAGACGACAGAGAGAGAGAAGGAGAAAATGGAGGAAGTGAGGCTGCGTATGCCTGTGCTACGGTTCCATCAGCTGGGGTTTTCAGAACAAAAGTTTATCCAAGTAAATGGGATAGCAGATACACGAAAGTTGACGGTTGACTATAATACTATATGTTGTCTTGTCAAACTAGTGCTATGTAGGTCGGTACAATCAGGTTCAATCGTAATAGATGCAAAAGATTACTACTATAAAGCGATAGTTAAAATTAACTAAAAAGACATTAATTATAATTTTCCAATTATTTATAATATAATAATTTATTTAAATATGATTGAGATGGGGTGTGCAACAGGTTTGGTCCACACCAAATTGTATCGGACCAAATTGATGTTTCAACATGACTAAACCAAACCAAAAATAATACGGTCCGATTCTTGGTCTCGTGAATTTTATAAATACTGAAGGCATATGGACCAAATTGACATTTGAACCTGACCAAATCAGACTAAATGTAATGATGGTCTTGTCATTGATCCTAATTAATATGCCTTTGACTATTGGATCGTGGTCCTCATCAGTTTAGTCTTGTTCGGAATGGACCATTGCACACCCATAGGTGGAGGCTATAAGTAGTTTGTCTTAAGGTAGATTATATAAATGCACAACTCATTTTGTATTAATGGGTTTCCACTTTCTCGTATATTTTGTCGACATAAACAACATATAACTTATTACAGACCGTTTGAATCATACTCAAGATTGTCAAATCAGTTTATACCATTGCACCGATTTAGCAAGTGTTATGGTTCGATCGATGATACAATCAGTTTGATCATATATAAACTATTTTAGAAGTGAATTTACTTAAGTCATATTCATATTTAAATAAAATGTGACATTCTAAATAAAAGTACAAATACTCGTATTTAAAAACAATATTTAACGCCAACACCTAAACGTTTATATTTGACTCCAACAAATAACATCAACATTTAACTTTTAAACTCATAAAATAAATAATAAATTAATTTTGATTAATTAAATTCACTAAAATGATATCATTTTACTTAAAGATTGTAAATCGATCATGCCGATCACACCGATGATTTTTACGCCGATTTCAAGACGATACCATTTGAACTAGATTCAACCATCATATGTCAATCGGAATGACAACTTTGATCATATCACTTGCTAAACCGTACTATATAAAGTGATTTTACTACCTTCCTTATATGTTATATATCCCTCATTACTTTAGACGCTAATTAGCCCTCTCTTGCTTGCTTCCAACTAGTAGACAAATTAAGTAGCCATATATGCTCCGAGAAATAGTTTTATAATGCTTTAAAGTTTGGATAAGATATGAGGGACTCTGAAACATTTTTAGCTGGTCAATTTTTTTTATATTAATTTGGCCATTTTGATTACATTTATCTTGATATGATATGTGGTGGTATTATTGTGTCAAAACAGAATCCGTTCCGATAACTTATCCAGTCAACTCAACGCACAATCATATCATAATTCTAATTGACTAAAATTCAGAAACTCAAAAACCATCCGATTCTTTACCATATTATATTAGGGTTATGTTGTTTAGAGAAATACTATATATACTTTGCATATGCCTCTTTAATATGTAATCTCCTCAAGTATAGTGAAAGTGTCTCTCTCCTGCTCGTGGACTAACTAACATAGATTGTGTTAGTGAACCTATCGTTGGACCAGGTTTCTCCGGCGAATAGCTGCTACGCGGAATCTCAAGTCCGCCCAAAGTGGCAGTTCGACCCCTTGAAGTGCTAAATGCCTCAAGAAGGGCCTCTATCTGGGAAGATAGGAGTTGTAGGAGGCCCCCAGGATGTGAATATGTGCCGTTTGAAATAGAAATTAATCCAGCAATTACCGTAAACCTGTGTGTTCTTTACTTTCTTGCAGTGCCGATTATTCTGATACGTTTCTAATAAGTGTTATCACAACCTGGTTGGCTTCAATTAGGGTTTTTTAGTAATAAAAGAATGAATTTAGTGAATAAGAAAATCTAGAAGTTCACAAGGAAGAACAATTTCGATATATGGCAAATCAAGATGCAAACACTATTGAAACAACAAGGGTTGGGGGGGGGGGAGCTATCCGGGAAACCAAAGAAGATATGGCTCGATGATGAATAATGGAATACCCTGGGGGAGAAGGCTCGCTCGACCATCATGCTATCGTAATCTGATCACGTCATCATTGAAGTGACTTCTAAGAAGACTGTCATGGGTTTGTGGTTGAAGCTGGAAAGTCTGTATATGATGAAGTATTTAACAAATAAGCTACATCTAAAGCAATGTTATTCAGCTTACAGATGCAAAAAGGTATGATGTGCATTATAAATATCCTAGGATGTCCTAAGGTCATATATCAAGAGGTCTTTTGATAGTAACTACACAAACCTAACTAGATGTGTTTGAATGATGATGTACTTAAAAGTAAAAGTAAGTGGGTTGAGGTGCCCTTATGCGAAATCTACTTAACTAATGCAAGAAAGAAGTAAAATGATGCAAGAAAATTAAAAAGAATGATTAGGTAGTGCTTTCTAGATGATCATGCATCCATTCTCCTCCCTAAATGCATCTATGAATCTTCTATTATGATGCCCTATCCCTTCCTCTATGGTCATTCTCTACCCGTGCATGTGCCTCTTGCGATAGAGATTGGACTATATAATGTGTGCTTTTGCCTCACGCCATCACCTAATCAATGAAGAACACGGTATTTAGGATAAAACATGATTAAGTGTGGGCCTCTTGAGAAATAATTAATGGTCGATAGCATCGATGATCTAAATTATTAAGCATCATCCAAAGATGATGCCTACTATACGAGATTAGTTTCTTAGTCTCCCATAATAGTAGCACGTACAAATGATACTATTGTAGCATTCATAATAGATTCATACACATAGAAACATCATATGATAAAGATCATTGATGATCATAGGCAATCTATTATTAAAGCTTGCATTCAATAAAGCATCTACAAGAACAAGCATCGATGAACCAAAGCATAGAACGAAATGCTCATCTCATTGCTTCATTAAAAGTAATGCATAAACATAATAGAATTCACATCCCTAAAAAGATCGACTAGCAGGCCATAAAGAATTAGAACATCACCATAGATGCAGACATCGATAGTGAAAGCTTCTTGGTCGATCTCCAGCAGGGCCTCGACTCATACTATGGATTGCTACTCGTGCCCTTAGGGCAGAGTGCTCGTAAAAGGTGTGATAAAACCTTCCTTTTCTGGTATTTGTCCTCCTAAAGTTAGTCAAAACCTTCCTTGTACGACTTGAAATCTGATTCCTTTGACTTGTGGACGAAGTAACTTATTGAGGAAGTTTCTTGAAGGGCTTTGGCAAAGCGGCGATATTGCGGCAATAGTAGTCGTTGTAGGATTTAATTTTCCAAATCAGTCCATTTTTGGTGGTCAACTTCCTCTTGCTATTCAAAATACTATCATTTAATTCATAACTTGAGCTTTTGGTGTTAGAATCAATCTCCATTTGAGCCCATGAGCTTGTATTCTTGACCTCCTTATGATCCTTTGGGACCCTTGGTGATCCATATTTATCTTGAGTGCATTATATCCTTAAAAATCACAAAATAACAAAAAAGGCGTAAAATCGTACAACACACTCAAGGTCTTCCATAAGCACATCAATCAAATAGTTATGAATTCCACATGAAATATAATAAAATCTACTAAAGATGTATTTTTATAAGGAGAAAATGTATCAATATAAAAGTGATAAACATTATGAATGGAGTGTAAAAAGAAACACTCACATTTGAACTTTGCTTGTTCCCAAGCAAACACTACTCACAATCATACAACTCAAGGAACACTAAAAAAAAATCACTTAATTTGATATTAGGTGGTGGACCATAAGTAATTTACAAAGTGAACAATAGCACGAGAGAATCCTAACTACATCAACATGCTTGAATATCATGCAATCCAATCCAAGCATAAACAACTAATCATGTATTAGAGTCTCAAAACACAAGGGTGAAGCTTTTGATAAACGATTTTTTGAACTTTCAATGCTTCTCCTATTAGCTTGAAATTCCCTTTTAAACACTTTTGCTGAGGTCCCCACGGCCAGCCCCACGATCATGATTCAGACCTTGAAAATTAGCCCGAAATTCCCCTCAATCATCGAAGAAGAAAATTTGTGTCGATAATTACCGAAAAAAAAAAAAGAAAATTTGTGTCGATCAATTCAGAGCCAGTGCCACGGTCGTGACTCAAACGTGAACACCCCACGACCATTAATGGTGACAGAAGCTCCTCCAAAGTGACGATGTACCATTTAATCAGTTCTACCCCAAAGGAGTTCGAACATACTAACCCTAAAACGATTAGAGAGTTAGAGAGCAGGACATGAAATTTTTCATCAGTTCTACAACAAAGGAGTCACCTTGGAGCATCCGATCAAGTCATTAATGATGGAAATTGGTTCTTCTTCCTCTCCTTTGTTCGTTTCTCTATTAGCCATGAACTAATCCTTGATCGTTGTTTGGATTAAATGAACCCTAGTTGTATGGCACTGATTTGATTTATATCGCATGAATTTTAATGTTTATGATCTTTGATTTGTCTATGAATGAAATTTCTAGTATGTGATAGAAGCACGACTATGGTATGCTTGTTTGTTTCGTATGTATGTCGAGGAGAAGATATCCATAGATGAGATAAAACACTCATAGATAAAAAGGAGCTCGAACCACTAGAAGATGGAGGGGTAGGGACTTCCAGATTAGGGTAAAACCTAATAGGGGGATTCATAGAGGAGTAATCATCAGAGGATTTGATCTAGGTCAAAGAGAATGTCAGATCTAGTTTGAACCAACTAATAGGGTGTTAATACATGAGAAAATCGAGTTAACATCAAATC